CGTGGCCGGTGCTCCCCCCGCCATGCGCCCGGTGCCAGGCCAGCCCCGAGCACCTGGCGAGCACATGGAAATGCCCCCGCGGGTGCCATGGCACCCGCGGGCACCGTGTTGGGGACCACGGAATTAGAGTGTCCTTGCTAAATGAGGCTAATGGACCATTCACTGTTTTTTAAGTTACAGATTAACATGGCTACCCCTCTGAGATTAACATATTCTGACATTTTGTTGCAAGTCACTTAAGGGACACTGGTTAGCCTTAAAAATGTAGTGTACATTATTACTGTGTTACTAACTCTGTGGAGCACAACAGCAGCACAACAATCATTGCTACTTTTTTCCCTCCCTATCTTTCAAATACCATGCAATGTTTTCATGATGATCTAATGATCCTTCAGTTACTGGAATGCCCAGCCTTTTGTTATTCTTAATCACCCTGCCTCCCTCTGTTTATAACAAACTTCCTGCCCCAAAGGCAAAGTTGCAAACAGCTCAAACTCTGTTGCAGTTAAGAGCTGCCTTTGGAGCCAGTATATGCAGCTTTAAGCAGATCTCAAGCATGAAATCCAGGGGGTTCAAACTTGGGAGAGGGCTACTGCCCTCCAGCCCTCCATAAATGGCATCTTTGACTCGGGTCCTTGTATGATTGGATGCTGTTCGGTTTCCATTCAAAAGGAATTAATTGTTTGTGTAGGGATACTGAACAACCATGCCAACTATTGTATTTGCTTAACAGATTTTGCAAAAGTAACCTTCCATCACAAATCATTACCAAGTGTTCAGAATTGTACCTATGAAACACCTTAGTCTATAATATATACTTTTTTGCATAAATAAAGTATTTTCAATAAATTAACATATTTGCAAGAAAAAATATAGGGCTTTTAAGAGGAGACTGTTTATTCTTAGCTGTTTTCAGCCTTGACATGTCACCTTCTCGTGGGCTGTCATATTATGCAAGTGACAAAGTGTCTTGATTAGTAGTATTGCTATGTGTATTTGTGCTTTTTCATCCCTTTCTCTCTCTCTATAAAAAAAAGTTTCCTGCAGGACAGAGTGACGTCATCACGTCATCTGCGTCCTCATATCACCGCTGCCATCCACTTCCATCCTCAGCTGCTTGCTGTGGCCAGCCTCAGTGCCATCCCCTCTGGACATAGGCTTCATGCGCTGCCAGGGAGGAGCTGCTGGGGCCGGGTCCCCTCCGCCATCCAAGCCCAACCCTTCCTCCCAGGTCCCCTCCACCATCTGAGCCCACCCCACACTCCTCTGGACCTCACCAGGTCCCCTCTGCCATCCGAACCCAATCCCTCTCTCCACACAGGTTGCACCAGGTCCTCTCCAACATCCGAGCCCAACCTCCTCCCCTGAGCCACACTGGGTCCACTCTGCCGTCCAAGCCCAATCCTTCCCCCCCCAACCTCCTCACCTCTTCTGCCGAGACCCTACATCCCCAGCCCATTCCTGTCCCCTCCCCCCAGGCCAGACACCTACCCCCTGCCTACTCCTTTCCCCTGGCCAGACAACCTGCCCCCAGGGAACTTGGAATAATGGTGTTGATTTTCAAAAGGGAAAAAAGATGGATTTATCAGAAATGCTTGATATTGAAATCTATCAGATTATGGAGTAGATTTCTAATGCCCTGTCACTTGGCACTTCTAAAAGTAGATTAGACAATATACAAGAAAATGTTCTGTAGAAAACATTTGTGATTTATCAGAGGAATGGAAGAAGATGCTGTAATAGACGATCTTACTCGTCTTTATTGTCTGATTCTACATGTATTTGGACTTTCAGCAGATTTCTTATTCAAATTGCCCATCACTAGCCCAAACCTTTTTGCTTGTCTCACAAAATTCTGTCTAATGAATAATGTAGCATGAGGGTGATACTGAAATAAGGCGAACTTGCCCCCAGTAGCTGAAATTCATTCATCAGGCTTAGCAAAATAGGTACTGTACATATATACAGGGAAGCCACAGAAATCTATTTCAGGGCACTATGTACCTGATCCAAAGCCCATTGAAGTCAGTTGGAGTCTTTCCATTATAGGGGATTGAGCCTTATTGTGATACCACAAACCATAGTGTGGATATTCAGTATTTTCTAGTTAACAGTATTATAGATATTCATACACATCTTTCTCACCATACCTATATATAAATTATAATTCTATGTATGTGGACAGGAACATTTATCTATAACCTGCTTAAGCATTCATAGATTATTAAAATTAATAAAAATAAACAAATCAAGAGTTTCTGTATCACACACAGAATTACGGCTCCCATGTAATCTATTGGTTAATAGGCTTTTTAGAGTTGTGAAATGAGGAGTGTTTGGAGAAGTTTTTTCATACTTAATACAAATATGAACTGTGGTGGAAATGGCTTCCCATTGAAACAAATGCCATTAAACTTGTTAAAATTGGTCTTATTAGAAAGCTTGAAAAAGTGATTGTCAAGTTACTTTTAAAGCTGTTATGGTACACTCTAAAAGCACTCAATTTATACATCAGGGATTGTTGTACCAGTTTAATTTATCCATACATAGCTAGACTGATTACTGCTGACTTACTCATGAAACATTAATAAAGCATTGTGTTCAATGCTAACATGATTATGGTGTGACCTCAGTGATGTCACAGAGGACAGAAGCAGTAAGTGTCCCTGATAACATTACCCTAATGCTGGGTTCATCAATCATAATCTACCAGTTTAAAAAAAAAAGAAACTTCCACAGATGTGCATCTGTAGTCTTACTCAGCCTCTCAGTCCCAGCAGATTTATGAGGGTTCTGAGAGCCAGAAATAGAATATATTCAGCTAGTAAATCAGGCATGTTAAATTGAGGCAAGGAACTCTACTGTGAAACATTGAAGCAAAGCAAAATAACCATTTCATAGTTTAAAAAATGAGATCTGCTGTAATTTGCATCACTTATAATGATATTTTGATAGGTGAACATGCAAGTATGATATTACAAATTATAATGTTGTATACAATGCATTTAGTATAAATGACATTTTTAGAAAGACCACTTGGTATCTGTTTTTTCTAAGTCCTATTTTGTTACTGTTATGTACCTGTTATGAATAATCAATTTTCATCCTCTTTGTAGAATGATTTATATACACACTTTTTGGCTAATATTTCCATTTCTGAACTATTTCATGGTTAACAAACATTTAATATATAAGTTGAAAACTTGGAGCACTAAGGTTTTGGTAGACAGTGGACTTCAATGCCTATTTTTACTTATTGATAGGCGCTGACTATACTTTGTACTACGTAAATAGAACATGAAAAATTTCATTTTACATTGTCAGTGGCAATTTTTTGTTTGATTTTATTTGTTTTCATTGTTAGGTTTCTTACTTACCGGAAAATAAACACTTCTAATTTAGAGTGATTTAAATCTAAATTTGACTGCTACATTCGTGCACAACTTACTATTGAGAGAACATATTTAACATAGCAAAAGTAACCTAATTAGCTTAATATACAGAAAAACCCATTTTGGAAACATCCTCCTGAGGAAAGTGATGACCCCAAGATATTCCAAATACATTAAATACAATTCTGCTCATTATTGGACAATCACCTTCCTTAAACAAATAGTTCTTTTCAAAATATTTTTGTT